GCTCGCTCTATGAATTTGGTTACAGACAGAAATACACACACACACACACACACACACACACACACACACACACACACACACACACACACACACACACACACACACACACACACACACACACACACACACACACACACACACACACACACACACACACACACACACACACACACACACACACACACACACACACACACACACACACACACACACACACACACACACACACACACACACACACACACACACACACACACACACACACACACACACACACACACACACACACACACACACACACACACACACACACACACACACACACACACTGTATTTTTTGATGATGGGGCAACCTTCGTGCAGTTCTAATGGTGTCCTTGTCGTGATTCATGGTAACTCTTGCCGTCCATCTCAGCATGTACATCTCCATCACTTCAATCCTTCGTTCATCTTCTCGCGTACACAACAACATTCGCTGCCATACAGAGCGGTCGCGCGGACTACAGTGCGGTACATCTGGATTTTAGCCTGATTAGCTTCTGTGCTTTGCCACATGGAAGAGGTCAGCGTAAAATCGTTGGGTGGGCGGAATGACCACCTAGGTGGAGTGACCACCTCCAAGCTTGTTCCTTCCGGAGCGGATTTTTCGCTCCGGAAATGCCTTATGTGGCGCAACGTGGAGGTTTGCCTAGTGTGGAGGCCACACTAGTATACCATCACAATCTCTCGACCTCCACTTTAAGTGAGCTGTGCCTTTATGTCTTACGATTTGTCCTTTGGCTTTGGACTGATCGATATTGAAATCGGCTTGTACACCTGAAAATAGGGCACATGCGCTTGTGGCACCCAAATTTGTGTGTGTGTGTGTGTGTGTGTGTGTGTGTGTGTGTGTGTGTGTGTGTGTGTGTGTGTGTGTGTGTGTGTGTGTGTGTGTGTGTGTGTGTGTGTGTGTGTGTGTGTGTGTGTGTGTGTGTGTGTGTGTGTGTGTGTGTGTGTGTGTGTGTGTGTGTGTGTGTGTGTGTGTGTGTGTGTGTGTGTGTGTGTGTGTGTGTGTGTGTGTGTGTGTGTGTGTGTGTGTGTGTGTGTGTGTGTGTGTGTGTGTGTGTGTGTGTGTGTGTGTGTGTGTGTGTGTGTGTGTGTGTGTGTGTGTGTGTGTGTGTGTGTGTGTGTGTGTGTGTGTGTGTGTGTGTGTGTGTGTGTGTGTGTGTGTGTGTGTGTGTGTGTGTGTGTGTGTGTGTGTGTGTGTGTGTGTGTGTGTGTGTGTGTGTGTGTGTGTGTGTGTGTGTGTGTGTGTGTGTGTGTGTGTGTGTGTGTGTGTGTGTGTGTGTGTGTGTGTGTGTGTGTGTGTGTGTGTGTGTGTGTGTGTGTGTGTGTGTGTGTGTGTGTGTGAATCTCTGTCGGTCACGAAATTCGTAGAGCGTGTTCTAGCCAACGTCCTGAGCCCAAATTTTGCATAGCGCACGCTACCAGCATGAAAGCTATCTATACAAAAGCATAAGCGGATCCGTTGAGTGGATCCATTAAAAATTGCGCGTCGAACGGATCCACTTGGTTTCTGGCCAGCAAATTTGGGTCCGTAATACTACTTTTTGCAGAGTTAAGGATGTATTTGACAAGCTAATATGCAAGCCATGGACCTTAGCCTAAAAAGTAATGAAAAGTCTACTACTTTACGAAAACAGCGCCAAGAAGCATTCTCTGTGTAAGCGGTCAATTTTTCAAGATTTTGCCTGATCATTTGAGAAGATTTTTTGCACAGCGATGTAGCCCACTATGTTTATTGTCCTTACGGCGACTACCAAGCCATAAAAATCTCAAAAACCTATTCGAATTTGCATCTGTTCTTCTGGGAAAGATTTTATCTACGCTACCGATTTCACATGGAAAACCTCTACGAATGAGTAGTTGTTTACGAAAAATTCGTGATAGCCTACATAGGGCGGTGAGTTTCAATGTCATTATTGTGCGGGAATGAGTAAGGCATACAGAAAATAGGGCCAGTGCGAGCGTGACGCACTGGTACCATGATAATTGTATAGTAAGTTTCGACTCGCTTTAGACGGAAATTGGATTGGCGGATATTCGTGTCGCAACGGTGCCGTTTCGCACTCAGACACTCGCACCGGCCAGCGGTCGTTCCATTATTCAGAGCAGAGCCAAATGCCAGCTCGCGACCGTTCGAGTAAAAATGCCGCCGGCGGCCGTTCCACTGTGCAAAAGCTCGGAAAGCGCACAAGATTGCGCGTACAAGAAAATAATTTCAAACATTGGGCGTTTGTGCCTTCTGAGCAGAAAACTTTTTTTCTAATTTTCCTTTGTTATTGTTGGCTTTTTCCACTTCGGTTGCGTCACTTTCTACGTCCAAATTTGATAGTTGGTGCAGCCCGTTATTATGATTCCGCTCATTCCGCTCATTCTACTCTCTTTTTCAGATTTGATCAAACTACCAACTCGTTATTTCTTCTTTCTATATTCCTGCTTATTTTGACTTAAATGGCGAACTTGTTGTGACTTGAATGGCGAACTGCTCATTTTTACTTGAATGGCGAAATAGCCGAACGTCAGTGAGTTCATGCCTATTTGCTATGACGTTAATTCTATGTGTCGCATAACCTTTTTGTGTACGAACTAATGAAGTAAAAATTAAATGTTCATTATTTTTCAGGGGACAGCTGCAACATGTATGGTGTTTGCGTCCTTGTCTTTCTGAAGGAACTACAGCGAATGGTTGACTGCTCAGTTGTTATTCGTAAAATCGAGTAATGCTCCTAATGGATGCTCCTTCACATATTCACATTTCTTGGATTTCTGGACCATTTTTGATTGCTGGGTATTATAAAGTTCATCTGTATACCGTTCATCTGGCAGTTGCTATTATGCTGACATTTACGGTTCGGAAGAGTATTTGTTATCCTACCGCATTTCTGCTAATCTGATGGTCACGGCTGCTGGACCATTCCAAAAGATGTAAGTTTTTTTAACATCACATAAGAATAGCGTTGCAGTGTTTTCCAGAGACTGATACAATCATCTATTTTAACCGACTACATTAATGCTTATTTTTTGATACTGCTCTACTAACAAACATTATTGCAACTCTGTGCATAGCATGTAAGTTTGGTGTCTGTTGAAACTTGGCAATAGTCTGATTTATTTACAGGTCAACGAATGCAGCTTGTTATTGCTTACGTGTGCGTTTAGAAGTACAAGAACTAAAACATTGTGTGAACCACCGGCGCATTCGGAACGCTTGTCCGACGATATGTGAACCTGCTGCTTCAAATGATCTTTCCTGGTAGATAAAAAGTTGCTAGCGTTGTAGTCAAATGTATTTTTCGTGAATCTTTGTGAAATTCTTTTTTGTCGATGTTTCGCATTGTATAGTGTTGCAAAAATATGTCCATGTAGATTCTACCACCCTGTATTGAGATTATAGCAAAGCTGAAAGCTAGAATTTAGAGGAAGAAACACTGTGGCCCAGTGCCATTTCGCTGCGCCACTGACGCATACCGCCTGGCGGCGTTCGAGTACCGGCTGGCGGCCGTTCCGGCCGGAATGTCGCGGACGGACCAGCCGCTTCGAACGGTCGCCAGCCGGTGCGTGTGTCTGAGCAGCTAGTACACCATATCGTGCTGAGAACCCGAGTCTGTGTCTCTTCATTCTCCTTAGTCTTAGCTTGGCAAATTGCTAACGCTATGCGCTTGCAAAGCCACCAGTGGTGCGCACGCGTTGCTCCACCTAGAATGTTCCGCCTTTTCCGGGATGAAATCAGCTGTACCTATAGACGATATGCAACTGACTTTTCTCAATCATTTCTAGCCTGCTGAGTAAATCCACAGTATTGCCTTCCGCATCTGAAGAAAACATATACTACGCTCTTAATATACTCTATTATATGAAGGTGCAATTCACCGGCAAGTGGTCATAAGAAACAATTACAGTGACACATCTAGAAACATGAGTAAGTAAAACATGCATGGAACATAAGGCGAGGACTACCCAAGGACAACCCATAGATGAAGGAAGAACTTTGGAGATAAACTCAAGAAACAACGAAACTCAACAATACAACATTCAATCGATTAAAAAGCTTTGGGTGGAGTGAGTTTCCGAAATGATGCACTAATATTGAAATTTACAAGGCTGCTCCATCGAACTCTTGAAAACACCACCCATGAAACCAAAATTACCCTATTCACGAGTAAAGAACACATTTTTTCCAAGCATGCAGCCAGCCGCACCACTTCTGCGAAATGATCGCTCTCCACACATTCTGGCGCTATTCCAGTATTCGGGCCCCAAAATTTTTCTGTATGGATTTGCTGAAACTTGGCCTAAGGGAATTATTCGGCCCGCTGATGCCAAATATCACATTGGTTTCGTGCCGTAGCGTCATTTTCTCGGGTTACGATAGGTATACGGTGAGGGGTCGAAACCCCAGAATTCGCTGAAACTTGGCCTAGGGGGGTTATTCGGCCGCTGACGCCGAATATCACATTGGTTTTGTACCGTAGCGTCATTTTCTCGGGTTACGGTAGGTACACGTAACGGGTGAAAAACATACAACGGGTGTAAGGGTTCGCACGATCGTGATCGTGAAGCTTTGCACACACGACCACCGCCGCGCGTACACACCCTGCTGCGGCTTTTGCCTAAGCAAAGCACAGGAGAAAGATACATTTGCCGATTTGTGATGTTGACCCTTACCGTAAACCTACCGTAACCATGCAGGGAGATGTTTTCGTGCGGAAAAAGTTTGACATTTCTAATCAGCATGTCAATAACCCCTCTGTGCGAAGTTACAGCGAATTTTGAGATTTTGACCCCGTACCGTATACCCACTGTAACCTGAGAAAATGACACTACGGTACAAAACCAATGTTGTTTCAGCATCAGCGGGCCGAATAACCCCCTGGGTCAAGTTCCAGCAAAAGCCATGTCGAAAAAATCTTGGGGCCCGGATACTGGAATAGCGCCCAAATTTTTGGGTAAGGAGCAACACGGTATTTCCTCCGATGGCAAAAGTTTCTGGTGTTGAGGCTGGCCGAGTTTAGAATAAAAAAAAGGTGGGTCTTTGTACTCGCGAAATTAGGTTATGGATTCGTAGATAAACTGACAGAATACAGGCTGTACCGACCGATGACTGCTCAGTGCAGCTGTGAAAAGCTGCAGTGTGTTTCAAAACATATAGTGATAATTTAATATGAGAATCTGCTACCACAATTCCCAAGGTGGTTTGCTGGGAATATCTCGTAGCATATGAAGTGTATGGTTCAAAGGAATAGTCAATCGTATATCACCATCCGAGTACAGAAGAAAATCCCGTATTCGTCTACTGAAATGAAGAAACATACTACACGAAAATGCAAACACACCCTAATTTAAGCTGACACTTACCCGCTAGCGCCCGTAATATAACCAGCAGGAATTCCCGCTCGTCTTTCGGTAGAATCAGTAACCATATCAACAAATTCGTCAGTACCTAAAAACGCCTTGAAAGGTAAACGAATCACTGAGTGTGGCATCCTACATATACTGACAATCTTATATATAACTAGCAGGCAAACCCGGCTCCGCCCGGCCCTGTCATTATTATATTCGTAATCAGCATGCTCGATTACCCCCCTGTGCCAACTCCCAGCCCCGTAGCTCAAATTTTGCAAAAAATCGATAAAATCGATATCGATCGATAACGAAAAGTAGCCTATGACACGCTCCCTGCCCCGAAGTATATGTGTGCCAAGTTTGGTCCAAATCGGTTCAGAAATAAAAATTTCTATTCCGCACATACGTACAGACAGACATACAGGCATACAGACATTCAGCTTTATATATAAGAAGAAGCTGAATGTCTGTTTGTATGTCTGTCTGTATGTACGTATGTTCCGAATAGAAAATTCCATTTCTGAACCGATCGGGACCAAACTTGGCACACATACACTTCGGGCCCCGGCGGGTGTCACAGGCTACTTTTCGTATCGATCGATATCGATTTTATCGATTTTTTGCAAAATTTGAGCTACGGGGCTGGGAGTTGGCACAGGGGGGTAAGTGAGCATGCTGATCACTCCCGTGGGGGTGATCAGCATGCTCGATTATACCCCCCCTGCCAAATTCCAGCCCCGTAGCTCAAATTTTGCAAAAAATCGATAAAATCGATAAAAGTAATGCACGGTTTTGAAAGTTAATATTGTATTCGGAATCCCCATGCTCACTTACCCCCCTGTGCCAACTCCCAGCCCCGTAGCTCAAATTTTGCAAAAAATCGATAAAATCGACATCAATCGATAACGAAAAGTGGACTGTGACACCCGCCGGGGCCCGAAGTGTATGTGTGCCAAGTTTGGTTCGGATCGGTTAAGAAATGAAATTTTCTATTCGGAACATACGGCGGAGCCGGGTATGCCAGCTAGTATTATATATTACTACCAATATACAGAATACATGGAAACACTCGCAAAATAGACCACTTTGTTGAGCACACTGTTGGTACGCGTATCCTACTTCATGCAAACACCTGCCACAACACACGCAGTTTTTACCCAGGGCACACGTCTTCAACCTCTGAATTTTACTCAAAGTGGCAATCCAAGTGAGAGTTGATTTGCTACTGGAAGGTGTGGGTACTTTCCGTTACGCTCACTCGTTTTTCTGTGCACCCTAATTTCACAATACAACGGGCACTTTTTTCCCCTAAACCTGACCAGCGCGAACACGTAAAAGATTCTGCAAGCAAACAACTACTGTGCTATAGTCGATTCGTTGACCGCACGGACACTGGACAACAAGCACGCGCCGCGAGGTAAAACACTTGCTCTGATACAAATTCGCCATTGTACAAAAAGCGCTCTCGCAACATTTCACCCGCGCGCGAGTGTTCCGCGGCGTTTGAGCAGTCCGTGCGGATAAAGGCAGTGTCCCACCAGACTCGGGGTATCTGGCTCTCGTAATGATGTAATAGTAGACCCCCTACGTAAGCGATGACTAAAGCTCGGAGCGAAAAAGGGGGTCTACAAAGCCTGAAATTTGCTCCGAAAGTAGGCCGAACCTTACGGTAGGATCGGGCGAGTGCGAGGTGCATGCAAGGTAGAGACGCAGAGTGGTTGCGGGTCACTGCACCCATGATGTGCGCGCTATACGCACTCTGGCCCTGCAAATCGATATTGCCGTGTGGGCGGCGTTCGGCCCTACCGTAGGATTCGGCCCACTTTCGGAGCAAATTTCAGGCTTGGTAGACCCCCTTTTTCGCTCCGAACTTCAGTCATCGCTTAGGTAGGGGGTCTACTATTACATCATTACGAGAGCCAGGTACCCCCAGTCTGGTGGGACGCTGCCTTTAAAGGCACCGTCTACCCAAAGTGGAGGTTGACGAGATTATGATGGCATACTAGCGTGAGCATAGGTGCGAAGGCCTGAGATGGGTACCCTCCAAAGTGAAGGGGGTCCAAAAATTGCCGACGTCGACCGGGGGGGGGGGGTAGAATTGAAAAAAATAAATTTTCAATTTTTTAACTTTAATTTTGAATTTTAATTTCAACAATGTTCCAATTTTTTGATTTTAAATTTTCTAAATTTATTTGTATAAATTTTAACATAGTTAGTAAAATGTTTTCAAATCCTTTTTTAATAAATATCATTTCATTATCATGTACCATAATGCGGCAAACGAAGCAAAAACCGGTACCGGACCCCCCTCACTGAGACGAAGCAGGTGCTGAGGTGAGAAAATACTTAGTTTAAAGTTGAGATATCGTATTTGAGAAATCCAATTTTAAGAATTTCATGAGACGAGCGGTAATGAGACGGATGGAAGGGCGCATGGTCATGAAACGAATGGCTGGAGTGGAGCCTTCACGTGGGCGTTTGTACGAGACTCGGAAAAAGACATTTCGTGGTTGTACTGTGGCTATAAATTAAATAATTTGCCACTGTATCGTGTGTATAAAAAAACAATAAATGAAAATGTTGTACACAATCAAAGATGTAGATAGTGAGTGAGGTTTGGTTGGGGCAGGTTTGAGTTACCAACTATACCCCCCTTCGAGCCAAAAAAATTTCATATCTCGGTAGGGGGGTCCTCTCATAATCTGATTTCTTTTTTATCTCGTCGAGGAGAGTGTACTGGATATAACTAGGGCTGTCGCAAAATAATCTGCTGAAGCAGACCTTCTTGAGCTTGAATTTCACACAAAAATCTATGCGTCTTCAACTCGATACTGTTGCTCTCCTTCCTTACAGCAGATCCTTTTGCGACAGCCCCACTTATATCAAGTAAACCTCCCTCTACAAGATGGTGAAAAAAGTAGATCACGAGAGGACCTCCCCGCTGAGATATGGACCGTCAAATAGAACCACCCAAAATCTTGCTATAACTATTGTGTAAATAAACAAAAATAAACAAGGAGCTGGACTTAGAATCTACTCTTCAAGAGCTTTCGAATGATATATAATATGTGGGGGTCCCTTGTTTTTTTCGCTCTGCGACAGGGGTTGAGACGATTCAGTTATGCGATCTCAGGTCTATCCCCCCCCCTGCATATGCATCAAAGTAGGCGGGGCTGAGAAGCCATAACTGAATTGTCTCAACCCCCGTCACAGGGCGAAAAAAACAAGGGACCCCCACACATTATATATCATCATTCGAAAGCTCTTGAAGAGTAGATTCTGAATCCAGCTCCTTGTTTTTTGTTTATTTACACAAGAATTATAGCAAAAAATCGATTTTGGGTGGTTCTATTTGACGGTCCATATCTCAGCGGGGACGTCCTCTCGTGATCTACTTTTTTCACCATCTTGTAGAGGGAGGTTTACTTGATATAAGTGGTACTGTCGCAAAAGGATCTGCTGTAAGGAAGGAGAGCAACAGTATCGAGTTGAAGACGCATAGATTTTTGTGTGAAATTCAAGCTCAAGAATGTCTGCTTCAGCAGATTCTTTTGCGACAGCCATAGCTATATCCAGTACACTCTCCTCGACAAGATATAAAAGAAACCAGATTATGAGAGGCCCCCCCCCACCGAGATATGGAATTTTTTTGGCTCGAGGGGGGGTATAGTTGGCAACTCAAACCTGCCTCAACCAAACCTCACTGACTATCTACATCTTTGATGTACAACATTTCCATTTATCGTTTATCCTTATACACACAATACAATGGCAAATTATTTGATTTATAGCAACAGTACAACCAGAAAAATGTCTTTTTCCGAGTCTCGTACAACACGCCCGGTCAATCGTTTCATGACCATGCGCCTTTCCATCTGACTCATTACCGCTCGTCCCATGAAATTCTTGAAATTGTATTTCTCAAATATGATATATCAACTTTAAACTAAGTATTTTCTCACCTGAGCACCTGCTTCGACTCAGTGAGGGGGGGGGGGGGTCCGGCCCGATTTTTGCTTCGTTTCCCGCATTCTCGTTCTCTACACTCTGCGAGTAAGTTGTTTTAACTTAGATTCTACTCCACTTCAAGCACACTATCATCTCACCTCAAAAAATTTTTTTCCTCCGTCCAAAGTGAAGGGAGGGGGGGGGGGGTAGCCCAGGCTCCAAAGTGAAGGGAGGATGAGATTCATCTCAACCCTTCGCACTTATGAGCGTGAGTGCCCACACTGGGCAAACCCCCAAGTTGCACGGCAAAGGATTGCTTCCGAAGCGAGAAATCCGCTCCGGAAGGGACGTAATCCGGTGCTGGTCACTCCGCCCACCTTGCAGGTTTGCAAATGACGCGCCCGGCGTATAACCGCGCCGCAGCCCCGCGACCTGCAATGCACCCTTCTCCAAAACGAGGTTTTTGGGGGTTTCGAAGATTCTCGACTTTATATTCGAAATCAGGACCTTCAGAAAACCTGGAAGCGACAAAAACATGGAAGTCGAGAACTCCGGTGGACGGTGCCTTTAACGAATCAACGTAAATCTTACTTGAGAGAATTGTGTGATAGAGCGTTCCGCAAAGCAAACGATGCGACCGAGCCACTCATTAAGATGGCAAAAAGTGCGCCTTGCACCCAAGAAAATGGAAAGGCCATTCTGTATTTTCCATCATCTGCATATAAGGTGTTCCAAAAATGTAGCAAGTGTTCGACTGTTGATGGTTTTCTTGTTCCAAAAGCTTACACGGAATTCAGGTACCCTGCCAAGGCTGCAGTATGGATTGGCAGTACAAAACAAATCATCGGTCATAATCACTATAGGGTTACGATAAGTAGAATAAATTGAATAACATGGTACAGCTGTTTTCGATCTTTAAAGATCCGCTTGTTCCTTAAACGTCCTACAAAGCTACATCAAGTCTCCAACAATGAAAGTGCTAAAGTCACCGTGACCTTTCTACACAAGCTGTATACGGAAATGCCTGTCTCGGAATGATCTCAAACCTATGCTGCTATATACAAAGCGATTTCTGTGAAATACGAGCGTTTTTTGATGACAAAGTTGTAGTGTTGCAATGAGTCTACTATACAATAGCAAATCATCATTAATGTTGCTCCGTAGCATGGAAGAGGCGACTTGACCACCCACACAAACTTGATATAATGAACATTTAACCTCCTCCAAACTTTGAGATCAAACTTTGAAATGAGTTTTCCACATTCAATCAATTCATGCGAAAAGGCTGCAGTAACCCTGTTGACAAGATCTGAAAAATAGCGTTCGAAGAGGGAGACCGTGATGTTTTCTATCTTCTATGTCTTTTTGTGAGCCGTACTACTGATAATTTGTTCACAAATGGCAGATAGAGTTTTTGTAAATTAGGGAACTGGATATAATTATGATTGTTACTATTACTTCATTAGCTTGAAAATAGGTTGGATTTGATAAGAAATTTCCTGTTAATTGAGTTCAGCATGCGCCGAGTGCCCGAAAAGATTGAGTTCGAACTACATACTAGGATAAGGTTTTGAGTTCATGGTACTTTGTTACTACTGACAACATTTCCCTTGGAAAAAAAACTAAAAAGGAGAAACATGAAACATGCGTAACCTGCATAAGAATCCGTGATTAGCGCGATCAGTGCTCCAGCATTCTCTGCGTTGATGACTTTCTCCACAAAAGAACATTCCCTGCAACAGAAAAGCTACACTCTCGTACACTTCATTTTAGACAGGGTATAAACCATTTTGTACAGGTTAGTACAAATGAGTTCAGTTCTTCTAGAGATGACAGATTTAAAGGCAGCGTCCGGGCAAAAAGTCGATTTTGAGATTTTGTGCTTACCCGGGCCTATTCGCTATGCTGAATCCGAAAATCACCACTAGAGAGCGCGAAAACGGCGAAAAAGGGGTCTAACGCAGGAGCAATATCAGCAGGGGGCGGAGCGTCCGAGAAGGTGGATTCTCGCTTCCAGCTTCCGGAGCAATCTTCTCGGTTCCGATCTCAAATCACTCGTTTGTACTTGGCCGGTAGCGATGTTAGGGCGACTAAAGGAACCGAGAAGATTGCTCCGGAAGCTGGGAGCGAGAATCCACCCTCTCGGACGCCCCGCCTCCTGCTGATTTTTCTCCTGCGTTAGACCCCTTTTTCGCCGTTTTCGCGCTCTCTAGTGGTGATTTTCGGATTCAGCATAGCGAATAGGCCCGGGTAAGCACAAAATCCCAAAATCGACTTTTTGCCCGGACGCTGCCTTTAAGTATCGTTTATTCGTTGACCGTAACGACTGCTAACCGCGCGGCGACCGCTGCGCGTGCATGATGTTTTCGTAGAAAAGATGAATAGAAAGAAAACAGAGGATTCTTCTCATCTTTATAAGGTAGAAAAGAAACAAAGAATTCTTCTCATCTTAAGCCACGGTCCACCTTGTCACTTTTTCGCAAGTTTAGAAGGCACGCGTCGCAGTCGCCACGCGGTCGGCAGTCCGTACGGTCAACGAATGAACGATACATCACTTAACAGATTACTGTTACAACTGAGCTTCATATAGATGAGTGAAAGACGATAATGGGAAACTCAAGGATGGAGTCAGAGAAGAAGAGAACTTGGAGAAAAGCAAGTAGGGTACAGGAAAGCGCAAGAGATTGAATATACCATCAAAATTAACGGAAGCAAAATCTTACCCTCTTTCCAAAAGCACTACTTCGTTTGGGCCTAGCTTGTTTTTCAGTGGCTGGCATCCCTGGGCCGGATGAGCATACACGAGCGAAGCCTTCTGCAAAAAATGTTGGGTTCCTCACTGCACTTTCAACATTCTTAAAAAAGTCAAGCTATTTTGAAGGCACCGGCCACAAATCCTCGATTTACACAGTTTTTTCGTTTCGGGGCCTTCTCATGTCCCTGGTAGTCCCAAATAAATAATAACAAATAATCCGCAAAAACCCCAACAATTCCTGTTCCGGACAACCCACAGGCTAGATTTCTAGAACGGTGATTGGATGACCGGGCATTACTGAGTGGGGCGGTGCCGGCCAGGGGTCCTCGTGCTTCTTCGTTATTTCGGGGCGATTTTCTCGCTTCCGAAGCGACATTCTGTGCCGCGATTTGGGCACTGCTCAGACAGTCGAAGGGATACCTCCGGCGGGCAAACGGCGCGGGTCTGCCACTTCGCGCTCTGGAGCCCTCCCATTTCACCCATTTTGGTGCTCCGGAGCTCTCCCAAATCTGGCGCACCTCCGTAGCAGAGATTTGCGCGTCCTGAAGAGGGGTCCCATTCGCCTGCTTGTGACGTCACCGTGACGTCACGGTGAACGAATGGGTCCCCTCTCCGGGACACGCAAATCTCTGCTCCGGAGGTGCGCCACTTTTGGGAGAGTCCCGGAGCACCAAAATGCTTAAATGGAAGGGCTCCGGAGCGCTCCAGGAGCGAGAAGTGGCAGACTCGCGCCATGTCCGCCGGAGGTATCCCTTCGACTGTCTGAGTGGCTTAATGGGGGATCCTGCTATCGTTCGCTGCAAAAGCTCAAGACCGACCCCCAACGTAGGGTGGACAATGCCCTCAAGCGCAGAAATGAATGGCAAGCGTCACTTCGGATTAATTCAAAGGTCATGGACTTCACATACTCTTTTTCTGACAGAAACAGCATTATGAACGAACCATACAGCCACTCGTGGGGTAATAAAGACCTGAGAAATGTAGAGCGGAGCTTACCTTATACGAATACTTTGGAAAGGGCGCTCCAATACTGGTAGAAGGTTGCATCTGGTAAGTGTATGAGAGTTGCTTCGGTTGGTCAATGTAGAAAAACAGAGCATTCTGTGCTGTAAATCATAAAAACTGAATATGTATTCAGAACAGAAAGAGTAAAGAATAGCTATAGGGTGTATCAGGAACATTTTATCTGGATATTTAAGCAAATGAGAGGAAGGAAATTTTTGAGACTTCACCATTCAGAAGATGATTCCTCGTTTGCAAGGTGGTAGGATAGTAGGTGCCAGAGTAAGCGGCTATTTTGTTCAAGTTGGGGTCCCGCGCAGAATGGAGGTCACTCACCATGCTGGCGTCAATCCAAGTGACGTCAATTCTGCGCAATGGCATGTACCATAGGATTACCAATGGTCAGACCTATCCGAATTGCTATAATATGTTTCAGACTATAAAGATACTCGCTTACTGCATTATAAAAGGAAAAAAAGCGACCCATTCGCTTCACTGGTCCTATTCAGCTGGAATACACAGTATTCGACTGTGAAAGAAATGTAAAATACAGTTGCCCGCGCCTACCTTTGGCACACGCCCTTGATGCACCTTATTGGTCAAATCAGTAAACTGAGCGATGGCGAAGTGGATGAAGTGAATCAAGCGGGTCTAGATCAAGTACGGCGTTACTATTGAACGGCTTCCCCGGCGGCTGGAAACCTCGGGTCCCAGCGCGCTTGTCACAGTTGGTACAGTCTCTTCCAATTTGGAGTAGGCGAAACTTTCAAAGTGGAGCAACGCGTCCGCAATGCCACCGGCTTAGCGAGATAGGTTAGAATGAAGAGACGCAGACTGCAAATCGGCGCGAATCGTTGCGAAGCGGACTCGCGCCAGTCCAATTTCCGCCTAAACTGAGTTGAAACTTACTATATAGTAAGATTCAACTCAGGCAGAAATTGGGCTGGCGGAAGTTCGCTTCGCAACGAATCGCGCCGCTTTGCCGTCTGCGTCTCTTCATTTTAATCTATCTCGCTGAGCCAGTGGTGGTGCGGACGCGCTGCTCCACTTGGAATGTTCGCCTATTCCGGGTTGAAAAGGATTGTAATGAGTGCGCACGTTTTTCAAACCTATTCTTATAGGATTCTGGAGTCACGTTTAGTCGCAACACACTCATTACATATTTCAGATTACATTAAGAGTGCTGACAAACAGATTCTTGAAAGATTACCGGCTCTATTCGACAAACGCTCGTGCTGGTGTTGAAAGCACGGCGCGGGCAATTAGGCCGCGACCGTTCATGTGGTCCCGCTCTTATACGTTTGTATGTACGTATATTTCAGTCGGGAATGAGCCAATATCAAACCAAAGCACTGACGCAGACCCGCTTCACTGAATTGCGCTCTGTTGGCGAGCGCACGGCTCGGCCATTTTGGCAGTTAAAGGCAGTGTCCGGGCAAAATGGGGGTTCTGAGATTTCTCTGCCATGTGAAAGTAGCCCCCCTGAGACACAACATCGCGCAACTGCGAGCATAAAACGTTCGACCTAAAGCAAGAAAAACGATTGCAAATTGGGGAAACTTACGCCTTGGGGCGGGGTCCTCCGAGCTGTTTGAATTCCTGCCAGACGGCAGAGTACGTATGCCGCCACAGTTAAAAACCGTGCGCTCTTTGCAACCTCTGCGTCTTAGCCTGGCGGGGATCCCCAAATTTCGAAATGTGAGGACTTGGAAAATGCATGTTCTCGCCGTTTTCGCGCCTTCTGATGTGGATTTTCGGATTCAGCGTTGCGGATAACCCCAGATAAGTTGATTTTTTAGAAGTCGAGTTTCTGCCCGGACACTGCCTTTAAATCGGGTGAGACTGAAACGCAGACATGGTTTTGCACGGATTGAGTCGTCAGAGACCGCAAGAACCGTTGCGAAGCGAAAAGCGTTACTTTGGTTTTTGCCTACTCCGGGTTTGAACTGTAGACCGACAGAATGCATGGAAACGCTGCCATGTGCGACTGGACAGCATAGCAGAAGCATTGAGAGTCAGCACTGCGAAAGTTTAAACAAAGAGATTCATGGTAACTTAGATTCACCAACGGGTCCCGAACGCGCTGGAAAATCTGTGGTGAATTTGAGCAGCTGCTTCGTTCGATGGTTGATGGAGAACGTAGAATGTCTTTTCAACTATTGAATTACTATTGATATAGAGAACAGAATCGCAGTTGACATGTTAGGCTTAGATGTTTAGGTGAGGTAATATAAATATAACGTGTAGCATAGATAGCAGATTCAGTGATAGAAAACAAAGCAAAACTTTACAAAAAATTAACATCAAAAGCTTACCTGCAACGGAGCTGATGAAGACGGGCAGCAAGAAAGATAATAACATCCCATCTAGAAAAGCTTTGGAGCGCACTTATCAAACATGCGAATTGCACTAAACAACGGGCCACGCACGGAGTGACGACCTCACGATTGCCAGCCAACAGTGAGCGCGCAGCGTTACAACGCAGTAAACGCGGTTCAGCTGTTCTGTCGTCGAAAAGCTCTTGCTAATACACGTCGATATGGGGCGCGTTGTCACTTTATTGACAACGTATGCAATAAGCATTTCTTATTTACTTTCGCCTTTGAGCTTCCTATCACACGTCAGTAGTTCCGTGTACGGACTTTAGTCAGGTACACATTCAACGACATTTTGTCGTTCTTGCAACAGAAAAAAGGGAAATATGAATTGGAAAGTGGCCGCGGAGTCTGCTGAAGCAATGCTTGTGTTCTTTTTGCAGCTTCGGTTGTTGTTCAACCAGGTGGCCGTATTGATTTGCGTTTCTCGATGTTCCCCATTATGCACACACGGATCGCCAGCACCGCTTGGACCAGTCGTGTCGTTCTGCAATGTCCTTTACTGAACAGTAGGTGCGTACCACAGCAAGCGTGCATGTATGGTATTAACGGACTTCCGCGACGAATTATAATTTTATTTTCCAAGAAAACGAAAGCATCCGGCAAAGCCAATGTGCATATATCGTTCCATAAGTTTGTAGATCAACGTAATAACAAAAGTTTGATTAAGTTTGGCCGATAATGTAGATACATATGTCCTGTTGTTGCTCATACTCCGCCACTCTGCCGCTCTTTTCTAAAACTTCGTGGGTGGTCCAAGAAAGTCGTTCAAGCCGCGCCTGAGATTGTCTCCACAATCAAAGCAAACGCGCTCCAGTTTGCGATAGACTGCACAAATAAGAATTTGCCACAGCGTGATCTCCTGACGAGAGGGTCACGAAGTCAAGGGCCGACCACCACAAACTGCGTAACATTTGTGCCGACATTGTCGGCACTCCTTCAGCCTGCATGGAATACATTTTCTAACTTTCACTTTCAATTTTTTCCTCTCCCCAGCTATGTCCCCGATGTGACTCTCAAAGGCAGTGGGTCGGCAGAATGAGACCCGTGGCAAAACAAGGTCACAGGGTAGGAGCCCCATAATGGAACCTATGGGCCAAAGTTCGATCTTTCTCTGCCACTTCTAACCCCCGAAATTTCAAAGCGAGAGCAGCGCTCATCTCCTGTTCTCTCCGAACCCGCCCACTCATGGACGAGTGACTTCCGCGGTCAGAGCGCCAGCCGCAATGCTATAAGCATGAGGTCCCGCAACGACTCTGCGTCTTCGCCATGACGGGCTTCGCGTTCACTCGTCCATGGGGTGGGCGGGTTCGGAGAGGACAGGAGGTGAGCGCTGCTTTCGCTTTGAAATTTCGGGGGTTAGAAGTGGCGGAGAAAGATCGAACTTTGGCCCATAGGTTCCATTATGGGGGCTCCTACCCTGTGACCTCGTTTTGCCACGGGTCTCATTCTGCCGACCTACCGCCTTTAACACATTGACGACGATACGACCCACCGGTGGGTCGTAAGTTTTCGAAAGCTCTAACTTTGCCAACATGCGACGAAATTCTACGGTATTTTGGCACATGATTGGGGACACCTTGGCGAAGCTCTAGCCGGAGTGGTCCGGGTCTGGGATACTGTAATGTAATGGGCGCTATTCCAGTATCCGGGCCCCAAAATTATTTTGTCGTGGATTCTGTCGAAACTTGGCCCAGGGGGGTTATTCGACCCGCTGATACCGAATATCATATTGGTTTTGTACGGTAGCGTCATTTTCTCGGGTTACGGTGGGTATACGGTAGGGGGTAAAAATCACGGAATTCGCTAAAACTTGGCCCAGGGGAGTTATTCGACCCGCTGATACCGAATATCATATTGGTTTTGTACGGTAGCGTCATTTTCTCGGGTTACGGTGGGTATACGGTAGGGGGTAAAAATCACGGAATTCGCTAAAACTTGGCCCAGGGGGGTTATTCGACCCGCTGATACCGAATATCATATTGGTTTTGTACGGTAGCGTCATTTTCTCGGGTTACGGTGGGTGTACGGTAGGGGTCAAAATCACAAATCGGCAAATGTATATTTCCCCTGTGCTTTGCTTAGGCATAAGCCGCAGCAGGGTGTGTAGCGCGCGGCGGTGGTCGTGTGTGCAAAGCTTCACGATTGTCCGAATCGCCATACACCCGCTTCAGGCAAAACTATTTTTTACACCCGTTACAGTGTAGCTACCGCAACTCGAGAACATGACGCTATGGTTCAAAACTAATGTGATATTTGGCATCAGCTGGCCAAATAACCCCCCTTGGCCAAGTTTCAGCAAAATCCGTGATTTTGGCCCCTACCGTATACCCACCGTAACCTTACAGGGAGGCGATTTCTTGCGGAGAAAATGTGATGTTCGTGATCAGCATATCAGATAACCCCCCTGGGCCAAGTTTCAGCGAATTCCGTTATTTTGACCCCCTACCGTATACCCACCGTAGCCCGAGAAAATGACGCTACCGTACAAAACCAATATGGTATTCGACATCAGCGGGCCGAATAACCCCCCTGGGCCAAGTTTCGACAGAATTCACGACAAAAAAATTTTGGGGCCCGGATACTGGAATAGCGCCCGAAAATGATAGTCTCAATTTCTAATACCGTCTTCTTACATCAGTTTCTTGATTTAAAAATTCTACCGTACTGCTACCGTAGTCCCACTGTGGGAAAGTAGTGAACAAAGTGGACACTATAATCGTGATCAGCATGTGAAATAACCCCAAAAGACAATGTTTTTACGAAAATCTGCTATGTTGGATTCGTACAGAGTGACTACCGTAATCCTACCGTATACTGCCAAAAACTGAAACAAATCATATTTTGATAATCAGCGTCTTCGATAACCCTTGTGGGGATATTCTCAGAGATATGTTTTGAATTTCTTACAAAAAAGACTACCACTTCGGACAATACGACCCACGGGTGGGTCGTAAGTTTGGCAGAGCAAAAAAATGTCCGAAATGTCAGTAATCGAAAAATCGGCCTTGTCGTCAATGTGTTAAAGGCACCGTCTACCCAAAATCTCGAATCCAATGTTTTTGTCGCCTTCAGACCTTCTGATAGTCCTGATTCCGAATATGGAGTTGAAAATCTGCGAAACGCCCAAAAATCTCTGTTTCGAGAACCCTCTGCAACAAGGCAGGCGAGATAAAGCATGCAAGTCCCCGCACTTTGCTACTTCCGGAGCGGATTTCTCGCTCCAGAAGCAGTCTTTTGCGGCGAAGCTTGGAGGTTTGTTTAGTATGGGTGCTCACACTAGTATGCCATCATAATTTCACCAACCTCCATTTTGGGTGGACGGTGCCTTTAAAGACAGCCAACAGATTTTGCATTTCCGTCTCTCTGCATGTTTTAAACCTTTTCGACACGTAGAACCCGAAAAGACCGTTATTGAAGCATTCCATCAAAAGACAGCTTGGACGAGAAATGAAAAGCTGGGTGGGTGCGAATCTGCCGAATGTCCGGACAAAGTGGGGGTTTGGGATAAATCAGCTACAATTCCCGCCGCATCTACAGGGTATTCGTGCTCGAGCAGCTGACATCCCGTGACGTTCGCTAAAGTCATAAGGGTCGACCAAGTTCGCGCTGCACTTCATATCACAAAAGAAGTTTTTTTTGTCAAACTACCCACCTCGCAAATGTTTGGTTATCACTTTTCTTTTGGTAAGGTCGATAGCGGGGAGAGCACTTCTGGGGGTGGCGCTGCTACGCTACTATCAATTTCTGATACGTTCGTTCTATCACATTTTCTGAGCCCGCTTGATCGGCCTTTTTTGTATAGCTCTTACCAAGGAAGGACTATAAGTTACTAGAACATTTCATATCGAACTAATCCAATTGTTTAATTCTTCCCGAGAATGGCAATTTGGGCGGTGTAAACCAGTGAGATATCTCCAACCACAAGATGGATTGAGCTGGTGCCAAAAATACCGTTGAGGTGAAAACTGGTGTAGTTACAGACAACAGATCTTTTTTCTGCAACTTTTTGTGTGGGATTTCTCAAACTTTTTGTTAATGAACGAGCTTCTGTATAGTCCGTTTCTTTTGAAGGATTGCAAAGCTTTGCAGAATCAATATTCCTTGTTCAAGTGCCTTTTCGAGCCATAGATACCTTCTTGATGAACACTGCTCGTTTTGTCCTAGATTAAGCAGTACCTGAGATTGATAATCGGAAACTGCTATAGGTGGACTCTCCCACAAAGATAATCGGAAACTGCTATGGGTGGGCTCCCCCACAAAGAAAGTGCAGGTCAAGGGCCAGTATTTCTGCACCATTAAAAGCCAGGGAAAATCCCTACCATCATAACGCATGCGAAATGAGAAACATCTTGATCTCATTATGGAAAGTGGAAGGCAGCATTATATGTTTGGCGGAGGAACAATCTAAAGGACCGGTCATACTATTCTTGTGATCCATGCAACTCCTGCCATTCCCGTGATTCTTGCGGGTTCCGCAACACTGTATACTACGAAAAAACAATGTATCGTTCATTCGTTGACCGTACGGACTGCCGACCGCGTGGCGACTGCGACGCGTGCCTTCTAAACTTGCGAAAAAGTGACAAGTTGGACCGTGGCTTAAGATGAGAAGAATTCTTTGTTTCTTTTCTACATTATAAAGATGAGAAGAATCCTCTGTTTTCTTTCTATTCATCTTTTCTACGAAAACATCATGCACGCGCAGCGGTCGCCGCGCCGCGTCAGCAGTCGTTACGGTCAAAGAATAAACGATATATGCTTATTCGCAAAGCGTTCCATAGTGCGGCACTCGTAAGTCGAGAAATAACAGGAGTTGCAGGATCTACAGGAATCAATGGAATCACCTCCTGGAATAGTATGGCCCGTCCCTAAAGGGCCAAGTATACTTCACGCGATTTCAGTCGCGACGCGATTTGGCAATATTAATTGTCCATAACTCACTGTAACACATTTCAAATGTACAGAAGATAGGGCACTTTATCAATTTACGTAAGTTATACAAACTATGCACATGCACGTGCACTTCGTGTTGAATCGAAAACTTCTGGCAATTTGCCAAATCGCATCGCGACTAAATCGCGTGAAGTATGCCGGCCCTTAAAGGCACCGTCCACCCTAAGTTGAGGATGTTGAGTTTT